GAGACGGGGTTTCACCATGTTGACCAGGATGGTCTCGATCTCTTGACCTCGTGATCCACCCGCCTCGGCCTCCCAAAGTGCTGGGATTACAGGCTTGAGCCACCGCGCCCGGCCAAGTTAAAATTCTTAAAGAATCCTTGCCCTGGCCCAGACCATCCCAATGGCACATGCCTATAGTCCTAGCTACTTGGGAGGCTGAGGCGGGAGGATCCCTTGATCCCAGGAGTTCCAGGCCAGCCTGGGCAACATAATGAGACCTTCATCTCTAAAAATAAAAATAAAGAATCCATACTTTACCCTGATTTCCATAATGCTAATGAGTTCCCAGTTCTTTCAGAAAAATAATAACCAGCAATCTAGAAGACTATTTTCTATAAGAAGTGGTAAGGCGTACTTAATTTATATAAGGAAAATTCAGATTGGATTGACTTTTAAAACTAAAGTATTTTGACAGGGTGCAGTGGCTCATGCCTGCAATTCTAACATTTGAAAAGGCAGAGGCGGGAGGATTGCTTGGTCCCAGGAGTTTGAGACCAACCTGGGCAACGTGGCAAAACTCTGTCTTTACAAAAAAAAAAAAAAGCCAGCTGTGGTGGTGTGCACCTGCAGTCCCAGCTACTCAGGATCGCTTGAACCCAGGAGGCAGAGGTTGCAATGAGCTGAGATCGCACCACTCCACTCTGGCCTGGGTGACTGAACCAACACCCTGTATCAAAAACAAACAACAAAAACTAAAATATTTTATTAAGATGAATAAGTTAAAATTTTTAACATTTTTCGTACTTGGAGTTTTTCAAGCCTTATTCCCGTAGTCCTCAAATTGGTCTATATCACTACAAATTAAGTGCCATCTATTGTGATAATTTACAGTTTTTGAATAAAAAACTCAAAGCAGGTGACTCCAGCTGCTCAGTTAGCAATCAGTACTTACAAGCTGTAGCCTTCCTTGTCCCCAGATCATGTGCAAGATAGTATAAGTAAAGAGGCAATTAAATATAGATGTTAGGGGTAGGAGTTCATAGTCATATAATGTGA